TATGAAGTAAAAATATCACTATCTGAATAGTAACTGTCAAAAAAATGAAGAAAACCTAATTCGATATTAATATTATATTATACGAGGGATAGATGTAAACCTAGATTAGATTACTGTTCATAAATAGGATGTGGAATGTTCCAGTTTTAGGGAAATGCGAAGATTAGCTCAGAATTAGAAAGAGTGGAGAAGTGTGTCCAACCACTCTTAGGACTAACGACCTTACGATGATTACGATTATAACATAAACTGGCAAAGTCTTTGTGATGACAAAATAAAATTATGTACACCTGAAACAAAAACATTCAATTCTTGCTCACGATCAGAAATTCGTGGAAATCATCCGATGTAGATTAAGATTAGTATCATATTACTTCTGATCTGTATTGTAACAAAAGATACCTATTTGAATCGAATGGTTTATTACTTTTTTTTACTTATTACGTTTTTGGAACTGCCTTACTAATACAAATACAGTTGTGGTAGTATACTTGATTAATTGTATAAAACGCAAGAATGGTAATTGTACCAATTATGTGCGTTTTAATCTAAATAAACGGTTTTTAATTGTTCGTTTCTAGGAACACATGATATCAAAATCCAATGAATCGTTACGCTTCGCAGACTCCTTAGGAAGTTAATTAAAAACACTACCGTTAAATCGTTATAACTGCAATTAAAGGAAATTGTTACAAGGATTATATTTGATTCGAACTTTTTTAGCGCTCGCTTTTTTTTTAATAGTAGAATCAAGGTTGGTTCTGTAAAAGTGTTAAAAGAAATTTGTAAATATACATACATAATTATACATGATCGACGTAATAGTTTCTTCGCACAATAAACAACACTTTTAAACAAGAATATCCCTATTCCATTCACGTTTACTCGATTTTTCGTGTTACAACACAAAAGGCTCTGCGAATTGTAAATATCGTGCACCGCTGTAACACAATTGTTGCCGTACACAAAACAAAACACCAAATCGTTCGTTTTTTATTTGTTCGCGAAAGCCGATAGACCTTTTTATGTGTCAGTCCTTTTTGGAAAACGATAATCCTGGAAGCACATTGTATCATTTAATAGTATTCATTTTATCGAATCGTTTACACGCAATTTAATAGCGGTTTTATAAGCGTCTCTAATTGTTGAAATCATAATGCACTCACGTCAGTTAGTTGTTAGCAAATACAGTGATGTTAAAGCACGTTCGTAATAGCAGCGGAAGTAGGGAAAAAGTGGCAGGTCTTTAACTTAACGTACGCACGTACGTACGTATATGGCCGGTACCCTCCAATTTCATAATTAGTATGTTACNCAAATAAAGTTTGAAAATATCCATTTTCCCTTAGCTTTTTTTTCATAACTTTGTTGTTTCTGATTTCAATAACTGAACATGAATACAAATTCTTCAGAAACAGTTTTTCTATAAGATAAATGGTTTGTGATTTCTACAGTAAAAAAGTGAGAAAGCAGAATTAGTCAGAGACCATTCAAAAATAAACCATACAAATCTTATTTAGTCATTTATGTTTATGTAGATCATATGTTTAGCGATTGGCACATATGATAGGTGTTTTTATCCAAAGCCACAGACGGCCGATAATAATTCAATATTATTGCTGCATACCCATAATAAACAGAAAAACTAATATTAATAGAAATAATGTAAAATCTGCATTCGATTCTCGAATTGAAAAATAGAAAAATTCGAGTTAAACGGGTCCCTAAACTAGGGTTTGGGGACACAATTAATCCAGCCCACGCCACGATAGCGAGCAAGATACGTCTGGTCTCACCCGCCAAAGGCTTTTTTATTACATCGTAAAATTAACGATTAAATTCTAGAAAATAATGTTTAGATGTTTTTATTTGACGACCAATTAAGGAACATCATAGGTCTCACCCATAATGAAGTACAGGGTGTCCAGAAAGGGTAGGGGATGTTTGAAAATTAAGTGCCAAAAATGATGATGTCCAAATGTCGATCCTCGCGCTGCTGGCACTCTCTCTCGAAACAGCGGCCATTTCGGTGTGGATATTGTGCTTCAATTGCAGTAGGGATCTTAGTTTGTACAACACCTTCTCTTTAAGGTGTCCACATAAAAAATAATCCGGAGGTGTGAGATTGGGGTTTCTCGGAGGCCAGTTGATGGTGCCTCAACGAGAGATCAGTTTTTCTAGAAAAAGTTGTTGACAACCCCATGCGATTGGTTTGAAATGTGACAAGTGAAATCATCTTTCCACATTAAGATCACCAAACTCTTGCAGTTGTGGAACCAAAAAGTTTCTTAACTTGTCATAATACCGGTCACTGTTTACCGTAAGTGTCCGTCCTCGCCGGTCTTCAAAAACAAGAAGGCTCAATGATGCCTTCACCAGACATGACAGCCCACGCAATAACTTTTGGATTATACAGTATAGTGGTTGTTCATGTTTATGTCTTAGATTTTTTTTGGCCCAGTAGCGACAATTCTGTTTGTTTACGTGATCATTTAAGTGAAAGTTTGCTTCGTCACTAAACAGAATGTTTTCGAATGTTGGAAAGCATTGATGCATTTTGTTTGCAAAATTCAGCAGGAGAGGATAATCGGTAACGTTCAGTTTTTGAACCGACTGAATTTTGTACGCTGTACAAAACTGCACTGTCATTCTCATTTCTTCAATCGTTTGTGGGGTTCGAACAGAGTGCGGGCGACCTAGATTGTAAATTTTTGCAGTCGAATCGATGTTCTCGAACATTCGAATCCATTTCCTGATGGTGTCGTCCTTCGATGCCCGATATAATCGTTAAGCTATGATCATCGGATCACCATTGCGATAATAGGTGCGTACACAAAAAGCATGATGGTCTCTGGGTATACTTTCATGGTCATTAAATCTCTAAAAAGTAGTGAAACAACTTATCAATACCGCACCCCTCCGAACCGCTCCATTACAGGGCAGCGCAGATATAAATACCACCTACTCATTCTAGACACCTTGTATATCATTTTACCTGTAACTGATTTATACAAAAATATTGGTTTTTTGGTGAAACAATAAGTAACAAGTTTACTGATGGAAATTATCAGCAGCGCTTATCAGTTAATTTCGATCTGTAAATATTTTTTGTGTATCAAATGACTGGAAGTTCCTCATACCAGTCATGATGATGATATTTTTCTTTAAGGAGGTTTGGTGGTTTCATGAAAGAGAATTCAATAAATCATTGTAAAAGCTTTCTCGATGTTATGTTGATGCTACTTGATTTTTGTCTAACTAATCGCAGGTATTTTGAGATTTTTAATTGAAAAATGGTTTTAAAATTGTATGGGTAAGTATAGTAAATGTTCAAAAAGAACTTCTTCTAAGAAAAGTGAATTAAATTGATACAAACTATTGAATATCTCTTAAATACTGCACCAAACCTGTGGAATTATTCACGCCAAAATATGAAATTGGAATATGTATTTTAATAATTAACATTTATCAGACTACAGGCAGTATACTGCCATCTAGTGAAGTTTGCTGCTAACAGTGTTTAACATGGGGGCCTTACAAAAGTATCTACACAGCTTGAAATACTACACTATTAGTATCAAATGTCACTAGATGGCGATATACTGTCAATAGTCTGAATTTAAATCATCATTCCTCTACAGAACAACTTCGATTTGGTCGGTAAATTATGAAAACTACCCTACGTGCTGATGAGAACAAACAAGTTCGAAATTTGAACTGGAGTTGTTCTGATTCGGGTTTAAAAACCGTAGCGTTGGAGCACAAGCCAGCATTCAGCATCGGAGATGGAAGGACCTCTGAAGATGCTAGCGAAACGTTAGGAAGCAACTCCAACACTCGACAGCCTTTAGATTCGAATCAGTACAGCACCAGTTCACCTAATGGCCACGAAAGCCTTTACCAATTTGTAAGTTCTGCTAGTTTCGATAAATTACTGACGAAAAACATCAACTATTCTAATTAACAATTATGTAACAAAACATGTCAAGTTTTAACATTTTTCTATTTCAAACGTTGATGTTAATTACGCTTTCTGTTAGGTATAACATTTTAACAATTAAGGAAAGTTTACCAGCATATTCGGTAACTCGATACTCCACAATTAATTTCTTCTATTTCGCCACACGTGAAACACATCGCCATGCTCTATTCACTTTGTGGATATTACTTATCTGATACTAAACTATTAGCACATTTTAAGGGATTCATAGTGTGATCAAAATAAAATTTGGCATACGGACTAGACTGACAAAATCAGAAACGATGAGATTTGTGGAAAAATAATGTTTCTGTAGGGTGCAAGTTCAAATTTATATTTTTTCAATAACCTCACTCAATGGGATATCTTTAGTCAGGTCTTTTAAAATTAAACAAAAAATTAAAATTACTTTTCGATTTTAGCCCTTCTTCAGCCGTTATCAGTACGTTCCACGTCCTTCAAATTTCTAAGCTATAGTAAACTGAAAAGACTACAGCCTATAGCTAGCATACCTATTGAATTAAGAAAAAAAATTATACCGAACATCCCAGAAAAAATAGATTCCGAAAAATTTAATGGTAACAGTTAACTCTTGCACCTTTAAGTGTTATATTTTTGAATACATATCGAATCAGCTACGGCTATTCGATTAATCGATTCTTTGAAACACACCACTAGTTCTAACCGCTGAATATATTTAACATTTTATAAGCGTTAAAATGTCGGTGACTTTTAAAGTTGCTTCAACTTTTATAGATACAGGTAAATCTTTGGATTAAGAAAAAAAAAAAGGATAATCTCTAGTAAACATTAGAAGGTGCTTAAATCCGATAAAAACATAATTAGTTTTGACCCAAATAAATGTCACTCAACCGCGATTAGGTACCATCAAAATAAAATAATAATTAAAAGAATGCCGTGCCGCAGGAAACATTGTTAGACTTAATTTTATACTACATATACTTAGGTACATATACAAAATTTACATAAAGATATGCAATCATTGTTATTATTTTATCAGTTGGTTTCACTGCGAAATTTTCTTGCCTGTGTACAGAAATAACATCCAAACACGCGACTATAATACGATAGGTAGGTAATTTAATAAGTTTAATAACTGTGAGACAAAGACAATGAGCAAGCTTAACATACTAATTAAAGTTTGTTTACTATTATCATTCGCCTCAGGTAAAATAACAGGCTAAACGCCTTCTACACGACATAACAGTGGCAAGGATCCACATTGAAAATGTACACAATTTAATTTAATGCACGCAAACACTATTTGTATTCTAATTAAAATTAAATTAAAAAACTTATGTTAATAAAGCAAACATTTAAAAACATTTGATCGCAGGTACACATTTTTTACCTTTTGCAACGATTTAGAATTATTTGGCAGATGTATTTATAGCTTATTATCTTATTATTGTAGTATTGACAATACTACTTGGATCGTTTGTATGAGATTTATCTCTGACGGTCGATTGATTAGATCACAATTAAATGTAAATAAACACGTAAAGGATAAATATTCGATGATTGAAAAATCTCGATGCGTTGAGTCTAATAACGCCGTTGTAAGCTCATTTAGGTTTTGTTATTATGATATACTAGTTATTTAACATGAATGCGGTCTTTAAAATTTCAACCCCGACTTGCATTGCTTTACACATTATCGACCCGCTATCCGTCATAGATGAATTGCAAGATTATAGAGCAAACTTTATACAAATTTTAAACTCTGACGGACAAGGAACGTTTAAAAACACCAACTTGATCATGAATTTCCGTAAAAATGCAAAAATCGATTTATTAATGCATAATTACAGCTCGCGTCATTATTCTACGTTCAAGCTTAAACTGCTTTGTGAAAAATAATTTTTTGGTATTGAATTTGATCCTAAGAAAATTTTACGGAAGTTCGAACTAATACTGGTTTGAATTTGTCTTCGGGTACGCAATCACGACAACTTTCTTCCTTGCAAAATAATCGTTCCTTTTTATGATCGGCTTCACTCTACTGACATTTTAGGCAATACCATAGTTGAGGATTCCCGAAAGTCTTATCTAGAAC